AAAAAAAAAAAAAAAAAGGGACAAGATATCTTTATTTCTGTTCCCAGGAAGAGTCTAGGAAGAGAGAAGCTAGCTACAAAACTGCTTTTAGCAGATGCTCTAGAATAAATCTAGAAACAGACACTGGAATTTTAACAAACCAAGCTATACCTCTTTCCCAGGAGAGAAAGAATGAGAGAGATTTAAAAGAGCTAATGTTACAGCTTCCCACACCTGTGGGTCATCCTGTGCTCATACCTGAAAGGAGGCTTGTTGATATTACCAAATTTGTGTAAGCTCAGTTTCTTTTCTTTCTGCACACATGTCATGCTAGAACTGCCACATCCATTCAATTCCTGTTACCTGCTGTGGAATGTGTTACTCAGAGGTTTATATTTACCTCATGCTAAAAAAAATTAATTAGAACAAAGTAGAATTTTTTCCAAAATTCTAAGCAACTTACACTAGGTAGGTCCTATATAACCAGTGTAAACTAAAACTAACTTCACTGAAATTTATGCAATTACATTTGCACAAGTATAGTGCATAGTCAATCAGTCCTGGTACAAGAACGCTGCAAGAGCCTAGTGAAAATAACCAGTTAGACATTTAAAAATAGATGGGTAAGATGAAATCTTTAAACTCGAAAACCATGAAGTTAACAGGAGAGATGAGCCAACTCTTTCAGTATCTCCTCTTCTGAGGATGACTCTTTCTTGCAGCCAGAGAAATAAGACAGTATACTGGCCCAAAATAAAATTAGGACAGATTTTTGAAGCTATTTAAGTATCAGTAAAATGTAGTTAGCTACAGCTCTATGGCCATTGAATTCACACTGAAATAAATAGACATGGAAAATTTCTCTTTATGCTTTGATACCCATCAAATTCTTCAAGGTTGTCTGTTCTCAGGGTTATGTTTTCTCTTTTGCCATTTAGTTACAGAGCACCCTCAGCCAAATTGCTTTTTCCTGCATTTCCCCTTCAGAYATTTTTCCATTAATTTGTTACGTCTTCAGGGCTGTGGTTTTAGCTATATATAGGGTCTTACACTTCAGTTCATGACTTGAGCCCAAGTAACACTACATTTGAGTTTTTACAAAAAAGTTCCTGCCCTTCCTCTATCTAGAAACCTGGAAACTAGAAGAATATAATAGAAATACACAAAATCTGTGCCTGCATTTCAGAGACCTTACTCTTCTGAGAGAGTTGAGTTAATATAATTGAGAGAAGTGAGGACAGAGGACTCAGGGGACTAACTCTGTCAACTCACCAGGTTTTGCCTCATAATCATACAACTCATAATATCAACTAGCTATATGAATTGCTATTTCATGCCTATGCAGCCTCTGAAAAATTACCTAAACTCTTAATTTTTTTAACTCATAACAGTGGCTCGTTTAATATGGTGTTATTCCACATTCATTCTACAGGGTTTGGTAATAATGGCATTATTTCAGAATATGGATAAAACTGTGGGTGCTACAGAAGTAATAGGAGCATCTTTGCCTGAATTCATCCTTGAAAATGTATGTTGAAATTTGAAATTTAATAAGAATCTCATGCTCTGCTCATACTCTGCATGAGAGATTAGGGGTTATATCTGTCCTTGGTAAAGTCTCTGTAGGCTTCTACCTTCAGTGAAGTGATCAGACTCAGGCCACCAGCTGGTAGATGTGTAATTGGTTGCCTAAGGAACACATATTTGAATGAATTTTTCAATGGGTTCATACTTCCCAGCCCAGGATTAACAAGTGCCAAAAGAATGTCCTTAACCTGCTGAGAGATGGAATGACTAAATTCTAAGGCTGAAGCTCACAATCAGCACTCACAGTGGCTTCATCTAATGTGTTTTGTTTTGCTTGGCCATTGCAATGGGTTCAGAGGGTACACAGTTGGTGAAAGMTTTACCAAGCCAGATAGATGTTTTGAAGTCCCTAAAACTCAGTGGCCTGTGCTCCCTTTTTACAACCAGCTGAGAGTGCACAAGACTAGATCTAGCACAGAATGTGTTTTCAGGCTGGATCTGTGCTTCTTAGCAAAAAGAACGCAACTTTTTAGAGCACCGAGAGACTAGGAAAAAATGAATCTGCTGCAGTGGTTTAATAAGTTACTGCCACCAAATGCCTTGTTTGTGGTGCCCTGTCACAGGTCTGCATCCTCACAGACCTGCTGGCAGRCATAAGGACACCTCTGGGCATCAGAGTTGCCTCTGTGCAAAGTTCAACCTTTTGCTTTAAACTGCTGAAAGGAGAAGGGAATGTCTTTACAAACAAACTCTGACTCTGGGC